GGAAAGACTGCTTAAACAGAGTAGTACAGAAAGTACTAACCATAAGGAAAAGATTGAGAAATTGGACCACACTAAAATTAAGAATACTGATTCAACAACAACAACAACAACAACAACAAAAGAGGACAGTGAAAAGCAAGCTCAGGAACGGCAGAATATATCTGACAAACATAATAGAAAAGGGCTTATACACAGGATTTACAAAGAACTCCATAAAAAAGGACAAGCAATCCAAAAGAAAAGGGAAAAAGAGACTTTGAAGGGCACTTCACAAAAAAGAGGCTATTCAAATAGTAAGTCATTAATAATCATGGATGTAAAAATTAAAACTACAAAGAGACACAGGTAAAAGTCCATATGAATGGTTGCAATTAAAAATACAATATAATATTTTATAGGGGTGTGCAAAAGTGGAAAATCTACAAACCACTGGGAAAAGTGTAATTAATATAAGCACTCTGGAAAAATTTTGGCATTATCTCCTAAACCTGAAGTAATATCTACAGGGTGCATGTGCTCACCAGAGACAGAGCAGAATGGTAAGAAATCACCCCCAGAAGGGATGGCCATGCTGTAATCTTTCTTCTCCATTCTCCTATTGGGATCTTGGGAACACATGCATACCTGCCTGGTATGTTTTCAAGATACTGGGATCCAAGACTTGACCTGCATTGTCGGTCATGTGGGATCCAGCCATCTTAACCTCCATGCCTCACCTGCTGGCCCCTGATCTGGCATTTTTATATCTAGGTATATACTCAACAGAAATATCTACATAAGTGCAATAAAAAACATGCACAAAAACATTTGGGTATTAGTCATGCTCCCAACTAAAAAACAAACCACAAACCATCAATATAGTAGATAAATTGAGGTATAACTGGAAAACTACACAGCAATGAAAACGGACAAATTAATGCTATGTTCAACGAACATAAAAATAGAAGTCAGACACAAAAGAACATAACATATCTCATTTCACTAATTCAAAAGTAGTCATAATTAATCTAAGATGGGGCCAGCATGTGGTGTTGTGGTTAAGGTGCTGGACTCCCACATAGCTGACCAAAGTTTGAGTCCCAGACTCAGAGGCTTAAAAATCACACTGGGTACGTGTGAGTGTATATCCCATCAGGAGAATGAAGGAGGAGGGACTGCAGCAGGGCCATCATTTCTGGGGGATGATTTCTCACTTTCCATCTCTTTGTCTCTCTCCAGCAAGTACATGTGCCCTATGGCACCAAAAAAAAAAAAAAATCCATAGTATTAGAAATCAGGGTTACCTTTGGAGAAAAAAGGGGGCAAACTGAGATGGAAGAAGGACAAAGAGAGCTACACAGGAGCTGGTATATTCTATATCTTGATGAAGATGGTTGTTTCACAGGTATTTTCTAATAGTTCTGTGTCAATGTTATAATGTATGTATAAATTATTTGGTTTTGCATATATATTATATTTTAATAGAAATTAAAACTAAGATAATACACATATTAAAAAGAAAAAAGTTTTGGGACCAGCAGTTAGCGTAATGGCTGTGTCACTGGACTCCCATGTAGTTGACTGCGGTTTGAGTCCCGGACCCGGTGGCTTAAACTCATGCCAGGCGTGTGTGCGTGCGTGCCCAAGTTCCCAAGAGGAGAATGGAGGAGAAGGGACTGCAGCATGGCCATCCCCGTCAGGGGGTGATTTCTCGCTTTGTCTCTCTGTCTCTCTCTTTCTGGTAAGTGCATGTGCCCTATAGCAAAAACCTCTAAAAAAAGAAAAAAATATTTTAAAAACACATTAAAAAAAACAAGTTTTTTTTTTTTAATATCCTTAATTATAAAGATATAAGTAGTGAACCTGGACTAATTACACTCAGTAATGTCAGGGAGAAAACTATGTATTTACTAGGTCCAAAGTAGCTTATATTTTGGAATTGATTTTTATGTGCTAAAAACAGTAATTCTGAATGTCCTAGGTGTTTTATATATTTTAAAGCAAATAAGGAACAGGAAAGGAAACTCTACTGTGATATTTGTTAGAGTTATTTTCTGTTCCAAATTGGAATGCTATAGGGCATTTGATTGCCAATAGAAAATGACTTATACTTTATTTAGTTATTTATTATTTCTACCTAATCTTCTTTTTTAGAGAGAGATTTTTGCTATAGGGCACGTGTGCTCACCAGAAAGAGAGAGAGAGAGAGAGAGAGACACACACAGACAGAAAGACAGAAAGCTAGAAATCACCTCCCCACCAAGGGCGATGGTCACACCATGATCCTTTCTCCTCTATTCTCCTCTTGGGATTTTGGGCATGCATGTACACACACATGTACCTGGCATGAGTTTCAAGCCACAGTTGGCCATGAGGGAGTCCAGCAACATAACCATTATGCCCTCTGCTGGTTCCTCTACCTTATCTCTTATTCAAAGGATTTTAATTGAGTTATAGTAAAAGACATTCAATAAATAAATAAAATAAATAAAACCATTCATCTATTAATTTTGTTGTTGTTGTCAGAAAGTACATGGCTCACCAGAGAGTGAGAGAGCACTCCCAGAGTATAGTTATATTTTCCTCCACTTCTCTATCTTATCAGGATTTTGAGCATGCAAACACATGTACCTGGCATGTTTTTCAAGTTTGAGGCTGAGACTCAAACTGTGTTTGGCTAACTGTGGGATATGACTCCGTATGCACTGTGCTTAATCACTGAACTAAAGGACTGGTCCTCTGTTAATTTCTATTTTCCTATAATTGCAATGTATTAAGTAACGATTAGGAAACATCAAAACATTTTTGCAGTAACCACTGATTCACAATATATTGCTCAGTAGTAAGGATAACATTCATCAATACTCATCTCTGAATTTATTTAATTCATGATAAAGGGCACGTGATGGAGACAAGCACACTTGAAAGGATCTTATCATGCTGTGATCCCTTCTCCTAGCCCTCCAGCTCCTCAGGATCTTGGGCGCATGTGCACTCTATGTTTTCAGGTTGACTGGGATCTGAACCCAAAGTCGGCCATGTGGCTTCCAGCACTGTGGTTTAGTACATTACCTCCAATGCCACGAGGGCTAAAATTGAATTTTTAAAATTGTGCTTAATATGGTACTCCGACCAATACAGAAGTTTGCTGCTGAAACTTAAGGGTCAGATTATCATGTTTCACTCTGTCTTTTCCTTCTTTTCTTTTCTTGTTTTTTTTTTTTTTTTTAATCAGTAGGGAAAATTTGGCTTATTTAGTAAAGGACACTGAAATATATAAGCCTCTCTTTTCTACAATAAAAAACAAACGATAGCTGATTAGTTCCATTGCCTATGTGTATTTGGATGAGAGCTGAAGAATATAGCTTTCTAAACAGAGAGTTTTCAGGGGATCAGTCTAGTTATTTGATCTTATGGAAAGTAACGATCACCAGAGTCTCCTTACTAAATATATTACAGCCTCTCTCTCAAGAATTTGACCCATAGAGAACAAAAGAAATGTGTTACATTTTATAAGGAATTAAAGCAATTTTCTCAAAGAAAAAAGTCAGTTATAATGCTTAAGAAAAGCAGTATTTTTTCCCTTAGAAATGTTTAAAGTTTGGAAAACAATATTAGGAAATGTCTAATTATTGGGTTTCAACTCTTAAAAGATGAATGAGGAATTTAATAGTCAAATATAAGACAAATATTATACTATAGTAGATGCTTATAGTTTTCCTAGTCCAGGACAAAGTGGAATGGGTTTAAATGGCAAAAACAGGGATTTAGGGAACCAGCAGTTAGTGTAATGACTATGTTGCTGGACTCCCATGTAGTCGACCATGGTTCGTGTCCCGGACCTGGTGGCTTAAAACTCACGCCGGGCGGGTGTGCGTGTGTGCCCAAGATCCCGAGAGGAGAATGGAGGAGAAGGGATTGCGGCGTGACCATCCCTCCTGGGTGGTGATTTCTCACTTTCTGTCTCTATGTCTCTCTCTGTCTGTCTGGCGAGCGCACGCGCCCTTTTGGAGAGGAAAAACCTCTCCAAAAAAAAGAAAAACAAAACAGGGATTTAAACTTAGATATGAGTTTTATGTTTGAGTGATTATTTTCCAAAGGACATAATTTCTGGCCGTCTAAAAGAAAATTTTTGGCCTACCTAAAAGAAAAAAGCATAGAGGGAGTTATTTTTCTGGTATGATTTGAAAGGAAAAACTAGTGTATCTAGATGCAGAGATAAACCTATCTGTGATTCTACCTAATTGGGTTAAAGTACTACTCACCAAATGCTGTCCAATGTACTAAAAAGAAGTACATTATAACCTAAGCCACTCTGGAACTTCTTAGGGTCTGTTTTCATTACATGAAGAATTAAATCTACTCCTTCAGTTCCAAAAATTTCCTGTTTAAGAGATTGGTTTAAAATTATTTCTTGAAATAAATAAATAAATACTTCCTTCTCCACTTTATCCTGTCACCATTAACTACTTTTCTACCAGAGAAATAGAACAACATTAAGAAAAACAGTGTTTTTAATATTTTTTTAAATTTGTACTCCCTTATTTTTAGGAATTTAAGACCAATTATTATAAAGCAAATCATTTCAAGAGAGGGAATCAATTAACATGCCAGCTAATATCTCTTTGGATTGTTCTCACTTTTTTTTTTTTTATAAAAAACATAAGATTTATCCCACAAGTTCCTCTGTAGTTCATAGGATTAGGTGAGTGAGAGATCTGAATGAAACTTAGATTAGCAAGCATACATACCTTTCTTTGAAGATGATTTTCACAAAGACCAGATAAGATAAGTAGTATGTCAGACTGGATTTCCAAAACAATGGCCTCTTCCTTTTCATTAGGCTTGCTTATTATAGTTTTAAAGATTCCTAATACAAGAAAATTTGAAGAATGTAAAGTATTTTTATTTTAGAAATCACTTCTTTAAAATTTCCTCACTTAGAAAAACAATTTTAGGGTCCAACAGTGCAGTGGCATGGTGAAGGCAATGGACTTCCACATCGTGGACCACAGTTCAAGTCCCAGGCCCAGTGGCCTAAAAATCACACTGGGCATGTGTGCATGTATGCTCAAAATCTTGAGGGAATGGTGGAGGGATGCAGCATGGTTATTCCCCTCTGGGGAGTAATTTTTCTCTCTCTCTCTCTCTAGTGAGCACATGTGCCCTACTGCAAACAAACAAACAATAAATAAAAGAATTAGTAGAGTGTCATTAAAAGATACCCAAACAATTTGGTACTTTTCTAGAAAACTATGTCTAAAAACATGCAGTTTAATGAAGTAGAGATGAATGTCTTCGCAAGTATATAACCAACATGCCTAATTGTAGTTAGTCTCATCTCATTTTTCCTCATGACTAATAGGATAAATTTTAAGCAAAGGTGCAAGACCTCTCTGTTTTCTGTATTATTTCTTTCTGTATCTTCTCCCTCATGTCTATCTAAAGGTGTCTTCAACGACTTTAGGTAAAAATATGTCCTTTGAAACTCCTCCCTTGGTGCTAATCAAAATTGAAAAGAACTTAAAAACAGTAACTAACACTAATGAAATAATGCAATAAAATTTTGTCACAAAAAGAAATTTTCATTTAAGCTTTAAAGGAAGAATAAAAATCACCTCCCTCCCCAGTACCCTTTTGCTTTCAGTTTGCTATAAGGTGTTCATCAGAGAGAGATGGGTAGGGGTGAGGAGGTACGAGGAAAAGTAAGAAAGCAACCCCTCGGGGATGGCAGTGCCACAGTCTCTTCTCCCCCATTCTCTTCTTGGGATTTTGGACATGCATGCACATAGCCCGGTTTTTCAAGCCACCATGTCCAGGATTCAAACCACTAGGTTGGCCATGTGGGATCCAGTCACTATAACCACCATGCCACCTGCTGGTCCTATTTTCTTCTTTTAAAGAAGTCACTGGCATTAGCAGGAAGGTATGGAGCTAAGTTAGGAGCAAAGTAGAAGGGCCATGGAAAGTCACAGCCTGTCTCTGCAGCTGGCCCTGAGAGACTATTCTTGGTCCTGTTAGGATAAATTTCAGGTGGGCAGGGACCAGCACTTAGCGTAATGGCTATGTCGCTGGACTCCCACATAGTTGACCACAATTCGAGTCCCGAACCTGGTTGCGGCGTGGCCATCCCCCTGGGGGGGGTGGTGATTTCTTTTTTTTTTCTTTTTTTTTTGGAGACGTTTTTGTCATAGGGCGCGTGTGCTCCCCCGGCAGACAGAGAGAGACAGAGAGATAAAAAGCGAGAAATCACCCTCCAGAGGGGATGACCACGCCACAATCCTTTCTCTGTTCTCCTCCCAGGATCTTGGGCATGCATGCACACGCGCCCGCCGTGAGTTTAAGCCACTGGGCTGACTACGTGGGAGTTCAGCGACATTACACTAACTGCTGGTCCCTTGGGGGGTGATTTCTCACTTTCTGTCTCTCTCTCTCTGTCTGGCGAGCGCACGTACCCTACAGCAAAAAAAAAAAAAGAAAAAAAAAATTCAGGTGGGCAATCAGGCCCTAGGAAGGCTAGTTGTGCTTGCTAAAGGCTCAGTAGAGGAGGCATGCCATGGACAGAGGCCTATGTTCCTTTATCAGGATCATCTTCTAGGAATCCAATCTGGCTGCTCACGTCTATTTTCCTTTTCTTTTTTCTTTTCTTTCCTTCTTTCTTTCTTCCTTTTTTTTTTTTTTTTTATTTTTTTTTTTTTTTCTTTTTTTTTTTTTTTTTTCTTAATGTGAACAGAGAGGTGGGGAGAGAGAGAAAGCAAGCTGCCAGGTCTGGGACTTGAACTGCAGTTGGCCATGTGGGAGTCCAGCATCCTTAACTACCACACTACCTGCCAGCCCCTCATTTCTACATTATCTCATTCTCCTTCTGACCTGAGTGCCAGCATGTAACTTTCCCTGCTATACACACAGTATATCAGAACTGAATTATTTTTGGGACCAGCAAATGGTGTAATGGTTACATTGCTGGACTCCCATGTAGTTGATCACGGTTCAAGTCCCATACCCAGCAACGCAGACTAATGTCAGATGTGTATGTGTGCATGCTCAGGATCCCGGGAGGAGAATGGATGAGAAGGAATTGTAGTGTGGCCATCCCCCTGGAGGGTGATTTCTCATTTTCTGTCTCTCTCTCTCTGGTGAGTGCACATGCATGCCCTATAGCAAAAATCTCTCTTAAAAATAAAAGAGCTGAATTATTTCCTCTGCACTTAAGTATCTTGTAACTCTTCCTTTACCTTCATCTTGTTCTATTTCTTTTTTTAAAAAAAGAATTATTTTATTTAACTTTATTTTAATTTAACATGAAAGGGACAAAGGGATAGAGAGGGAGAGAGAGAGAAAGCTGCCAGGTCCAAGACTCAAACCATGGTTGGCCATATAGGAGACCAGTACCCTTACCTCCCACACCACCTGCCAGCCCCATCTTGTTCTACTCTAAATCATTCTGTTTTTCTCTAGTTCTTCCTAGAACATAGCCCCATATGAATCAATGATTGAAATTCAGGGCCCCCACATCTGAAGAAGATGAAGCTTAAACTCTGCTATCTCCTACTCTACACTCCAGTTTGGCCTCTGACTACAATGAACCTATCTGATGTAGTGTATCTTCATAAAACTTTGGGTCCACCTACACAAGTTCTGAATATATCATCATGCTTATTTCCACACCATGACTCTGCTCATGCTATTCCCCAGCTTGAAAAGGCATTCCATTTTCCCCCCTCTTGAAACTACTCTTATCCACACAGGCTCCTATTAAATCTGCCTAGCCTGGAACATTACCTGAGCGTTTTAGCTTCTGAGACATTTACTCTGTATTACTCATTACACACCCACCTGATGGTGCAGGGTAACACATGCTATCTTTCTATGGTAAGTGTATTTTCTTTGCTCTCACCAAGGGCAAGGTGCTCAGTGCCCTGCTTTATGCATGTTTGTAACCCCAGTGCTTACACAGAAAGTGTATAAACATTTACATTTACAACGCAATTACTATTTATTGAGCAAGTTTCTACTTCAAAGCCCTGTTTGATTCAGTAAAACAAGGTCCCTGCCTCCAAGAACTCACATGATAAAGATCATTTTTTTACTGTTAAAGGAGAAGGTCCTAAGAAGAACCCTTGTTATTTGCTTTCCTTTTCCCGACCCCACTTCCCAGCCTAAGCAGGATTAAGATTTCTTCATACAGACATACAGACGACAATATGTGTTGGACTTCCACCAGCTAGGCTAAGGCCTTAAGAATGTGTTTTATGCAAATGGAATGGGCACGGGAGAGAGAAAATGTACTTTCAGGCTTGGTATCCTAAGTAAGTTCAGCCAGAAGTAAATGTTTTTGCATTGCTCCCTTTTCTTTTGCCTTTTTTAAAAATAGTTTTTCTTGATTCATGATAGAGCACGTGTGTGGAGCATGAGAGAGAGAGGAGACAGAAATGACCACCTTCCACAGGGTCTGCTCATGCTGCGATCTCCTTCCTCCAGCCCATCTAACCCTGGGCACTCAGGTGTAAACTTGTATGTTTCAGGCTGACTGGGCCTGGAGTCAAACCATGTTGCCATGTGGGACCCAGCTTCTCCTGAGCAGTACAGTACCGCTGCACCACAGGGCCAGCCCATCACTTTGCAATGTATTTCTTTTTCCCCAACTAATATTATATTAGAGGGCAACAACGTACTCCACTAATGATGGACGAGGAGGCACTTTAACAGGTAGTAGAATGTGGGGGTAAACATTTGGAATTAATTGAAATCCAGTAGATTGTATCATTTACTCATGAAGTAGTCACTGAGTATGAATGACTAAAACAACTCTTTTCAAAGTCAGAAAAGGTGAGGGCTGAGGACTATTTATTTTTAAAATAAAATATAAATCAGCTTTTGTTTAGAGGGTCTCAATTTTACGTTGGGCTTACAAGTACATACTTTAGGGGATAAGGTGATTTAGCGAAGTTAATTTTAAATTGAAGATGAAGGATATTCTGATATTTCATATCAATAAAAAAACCTCCTATGTACATTTCTCTATAAACCAATATACCAGTGTTCTGGTATGTCAGATGTATTGGAAAAATGTAATGCTATCCTCTTTTAAAATGGCTCCAAAAGGCATGAGGAAAAGAGGTGATCTTGTTACTAGAATGAAACCTAATAGCCCATTTAAAAAAAAAATAAAGATAATCCCAAGTGAAACAGCATCTTACTTGAAACAAATGTTTAAAGAATTAGTGATTATATTGTTTCAATAAGAAGAAAGATTGGACCAGCTCGTAGGGTGGTAGTTAGAATCCCACATGACTGACTGTAACCATGGGAGTCCCAGATGGGCAACTTGGAAAATATGCTGGGCACATGTGTGTGCTTACCCAAAATCTGAATGGGAGAATGGAAAAGAAGGGATTGCAGCATGGCCATTTTTCCTGCTGGGGCTGGGGCTGGGGGGGTGCTTCCTCACTCTACCCCCAGCCCTGAACTCTCTCTGTCTCTATCTGGAAAGCACATATGCCCTACAACAAATTAAAAAAAAAAAAAAAAAGAAGACACAAATCTCTACAGCAACAACATGAAACAAAAATGAATAGGTGTAAGGCTTGGCCTGTATCCTACACCCAGCCTCTGCAGTGCCATGCCCTGCTCAATACAGCCCTGTTGACTGAGGGCTGGCAAGAGTCGGACGCTGAGCATGGGACTGATTCAGTCATCAGGGAGTAAATTCATGGAGAAACATAAATGGATAGCAGCAGAAAATGGTATTGGAATAGTGGGAATCTGCAATCTTGCAGAGGAAGCTTCTGGAGATGTTGTTTATTGTACTCTTTCTGAAGTTGGGACCAGGTTGGACAAACAAGATGAGTTTGGTGCTTTGGAAAGTGTGAAAGCTGCTAGTGAACTCTCTTCTCCTCTGTCAGGGGAAGTAATTGAAATGAATGAAGCTCTTGCAGAAAATCCAGGACTTGTCAACAAATGTAATGAAGATGCTTGGCTGATCAAGATGACACTAAGTAACCCTTCAGAACTAGATGAACTAATGAGTGAAGATGTACATGAGAAATACATGAAGTCTATTGAAGAGTGAAAGTAGAACCTTTAAATAAAGGAGTGTGAAACAACTTAATCCAGCATAGTTTTCTTAAATTAGTGGTTGATAGAAGGTTTAAAATAGCAATATCAGTGGAAAAAGAAATAACTCTGAATTCTACTACTGGAAGAAAATACCCCTTAGCTTTCTAATGATCGTATTTTTAACAAACATAAAATGCATCTTTTTTCATAATATTCTATGATTCATAGATTAGGCTCAAGTATTCAGAATTCATGAAATTATCTGTGATAAAAACTAGTTATAAAAACTTTGTAACTAGTGATCACACTGTTATCCTAAGTCTTATATAACAATGTATCTTGCTTATATCCATCTCTAGCTTTGGGTCAGAGTACTTAATTTTCTCTCCATTGGAAATAACTGGGAGTGGAGAACAGTTTTTGTTAGTTGTATAGTGTTGAAGAACAGTACTTTTTTAGTTTGGCAATATACTGCATTTGCTAGTGTTATTTTACACAATTGAAGCAACAGCTTTGCAGCAAAATAAATAATAAAATATTCAATTTCTTCATTAAAAAAATTAAGAAATACTTAGGAGGTTCTCAGCCATAATACAAAATAAATTTGTAGAAAAATATTTCAAATAAAACCTCTAGTATTATAAATATTCTACTTTAGTCCATAAACTACCATGTTACTTATCAGTTGCTGAATTGTTTTTACTTATCAGTTGCTGAATTGTTCCCTTTTCACACAGATCCACGTTTATAGTCTCTTCTTCAAGGTGGACCATGGCTCTCAGTAGTCTTAAGCTATAACGCATCTGGGCAAACTTGTTGCCACGGCCACCTGTCCCATGAAAACTGTTACCGTGACTAAAGAAAGGATCTGTGAAGAAAAAATAGTTTACTTTATTTACATAGAGAAATATAAAACATATGACATTCTAAGTAGTAAGATATATCGGTTATCTAGTGTACATCTATCTAGAAATTTAAACAGATATTAAAATGTTATATTTACTTTAGCTTTTTTAGGGGGAGGATGAAATAGAATCCCTTCCTATTCTTCCTTCTATTCCCAGAACAGAAATATGTGCTTTAAAAATTGTACTTAAATGTATCATAGTGTATTTATCTTTTCAAACTTATGTATGTTACTCAACAATACATTTTAAAAATTATACACACTGTCATGAGTAGAACTAAAAGAAGTATTTGGTATCTAGTTGTCATTCAGTAAATATTTGATGAACAAACACATTAAAATATTGCCAAGGTTTATTTCCTTCCCAAATAAAATTTTGGACAGGCCTTATAATACAGACATTCAAATCAAATGATAAGATTTCTTTTAGTGTTGCAACAACAATATTTATGGTACTTATTAATGTCCGAATTTGAATGAAATTTTTTTTCTAAAAAACTTTAAAAAAATATTTTATTTAATTTTATTTATGTATTTATTTTCATTTGACCAGAGAGGGACAGAGAGAGAAAAAGAGAGAGAGGTAAAGTAAGAAAGCAAGCCACCTATTCCAGGACTCAAACCGTGTGGTTGGCTATGTGGGAGTCCAGTGCCCTTAACCACCATGCCACCTGTTGGCCCCCTAAAAAACTTTTTATATAAAAACATTTTCCTTTATATAAATACATAAAAAGAGAGAGAGATTTACATTTTTATTTCTCATTTTAATTAACTTTATTTTTCTATGCATATATTGAGAACTTAGTTGAAATATATACATTAAGGTCCAGCAGGTGGTGTGGTGGTTAAGGTATTGGACATTTCCATATGGCTGACCACAGTTCAAGTCTTGGACCTGGTCACTTTCCTTCTCTTTGTGTGTCTTTCTTTCTCTGGTCAAATTAACACAAATGAGTGAATAAATAAAATTAAATAAGTAATTCTTTAAAGTGTATATATATATATACATATATATATATATGTATATATACATATATACACACACACACACACACACACATATATATATATATATATATACACATTAGAATTTCACAGGAATTGGGGCCAGCAGGTGGTGTGGTGGTTAAGAAGCAGGATACTCCCACATGACCAACCACAGTTCGAGTCCTGGACCTGGTGATTTGCTTCCTCTCTCTCTCTCGTTCTGTGTGTGTGTGTGTGTGTGTGTCTGGTCAAATTAAAATAAATGAATGAATAAAATTGGATAAATAATTCTTAAAATAAAAGAAAAGAGAGAAAATTTCACAGGAATCTTGAAAGGCCACTCACCTTCATTTTCACACCATTCCAGAAATGCAAGGACTCGAGCATTTCCCTGGCATGACATATATTCTTCTATTAATAAAGGAGCCACTGATGACAAAGTGGCCATTGCATGCAGCTGTAATTCTTCATGCTGAGCTGCAGACCACTCAATTATTTTGTGTTTCTCAGGCTTTTTAACATAAGTAAACAAAGCCAAAATAACTTTGCCTTCAATTAACAGCTAGTAGAGACAAAAAAATACTTTGTCTGAAACAAAATTAATATCACTTTATTTAATCTAAGAAAATTAAATGTTTTATCGATGATCATTTCAAAATATTTCCTTCCTACATATCCCCAATCTATGGTAGGTATCCAAAACCCACAAAACAAAACAAAACCCCAACACACACATACACACAAAACTAATGGTTATGATCCCCTTTTCTTAGGTATGCACTCTCAAGCTGATAATGATGTAAAATATGTATTATTTTTTCTATACTGTTCATATATGTAATTTAGGGCTTACTTACAAAAACACAGGAAAAGAAAATTTGGGGAAAAACTGCTGGCATGTCTCTCCTTATTCTCTTTTTTTTTAAAGTAAACTGCTGGCTCAGGACCAGCCTTTGGCATAATGGCTATGTTGCTGGACTCCCATGTGGTCGACCGTGATTCAATCCTGGACCTGGTGGCTTAAATTCATGCCAGGCACATGTGTGTGTGTGTGCCCAAGATCCTGAGAGGTGAATGGAGGGGAAGGGATTTCAGCAAGGCCATCCCCCTTGGGGGGTGATTTCTCGCTTTCTGTCTGTCTCTTTCTGTCTTTCTGGCAAGTGCACGTGCCCTATAGCAAAAATCTCTCCAAAAAAAAAAAAAAAAAGTAAATATTTCAAAGACTCAATTGTATTATATAAAAACAATTTTGTCTGAAGTAATAGCTGTGGTTAATATTTAACTACACACAACAGAACACAGACAAACATTCACTCGAATGTCATTCAGGTAATAAACTATGTTTAATTACATGCCTACTATTTTACAATTTTATTGAATCTATAATTTTAACAAAAATAAAAGTGCATAGCAGCTGATTCTGACTGATATACATATAACTCGCAAGAGAGTAAAACACCATGTTTTTTGTTTTAAATAATTGCCAGAGGATGCATGTGCTTGCTAGGGAGAGACAGAGAGACAGAGAGGGAGAAAGCACCCTCCAATGGAGCACGGTCACACTGCAATCCCTTTTCTTTCATTTCTCTAGCGTGTTGGGATTTGGGCAAGCAGGCATGATTTTTGGGCAAACACGCTTGCATGTTTTTCAAGCTGCTAGGGTCAGGATTCAAATGGCAGTCAGTCATAGAGCATCTGGTTTTTTCCCACTGGGCTACATAGGCCATGTGGTATATTATATTTAACTTTCATTTTACTATTATTCTATAAAGACTTTTCACAATAACAACTATGATTTTCTTTCTAAATTGCATACATTTGCATGTAAAGAGTTGAGAATTGATTTGGAGTTGAGAAAACAAGAGTAATTCATTTTAGCATTACTTTGGGAATTAAAAGGATAATGTTTTTGAATTCCATGTGGACTCTAAATGATACGGTATATATTCACTATCACTATTATTATTAGGCTAAAATATGTGACACAAAAATTTTTATTTTGGGTCAGCAGGTGGCGTGGAGGTTAAGGTGCTAGATCCTACATGGTCAACTGCACAGTTTAAGTCCTGAACCCAGTGGTTTGAAAAACACTCTAGGCGCATATGTGTGCATGCCCAAAGTCCCAAGAGGGGAATGGAGGAGAAAGGACTGCAGCATGGCCATCTGCCTTAGGGGTAACTTCTCTCTCGCTCTGGTGAGTGCACACACCCTATAGCAAAAAAATTAGACTAAAAAAAAAAATTGATTTCATTTCTCACAAAATACTTTAAGAAACTTACCATAATCTTTGTGCTATTTGATTTTTGTCTGTAAAATGCTGTTCAATCAATTAAAATTGGTTTATCAGTTGTAGTGTAAATTTTACTTACTTTTAATAGTTATATAATACTTAACTAAAATAATAAATCAAATTTTATGGAATGATTTTAATTTTTTTCTTGTAAATTTGCTATAGGTCATGTGTACTTGCTGAGGGAAGGACTGAGAATGCACCTCAGGGGGATGGCCATGCTGCAATGCCTTCTCTATTCTCATCTCAGGATTTGGGGGCATGCACACATAAGCACCTGGCATGTTTTCCAAGCCACTGGTCTAGGATTCCAACCATGCAGCTGGCCAAGTAGGATCTAGCCATTTTAACCACCATGCCACCTGTTGGTCCTACTAAATTATTTTCTGTTTGTCCTTTTAGAAAATATATTTAAGTTTTATGCAGTATATATTTTTTGTTACAGAGAATACATTTGAGGGCTGGCAGGTGGCGTGGTGGTTAAGGGCACTTGACTCCCATATGGTTGACCAGGGTTTGAGTCCTGAACCTGGTGGCTTGCTTTCTCACTTCCTCCCTCTACCTCATTCTCTCACTCTGTCACTCTCTGATCAAATTAAAATAAATAAAATTAAATAAAATAAATGTTAAAAATTACCAATATACTATTTAAAAAAAAGAATAAATTTGTAACTGTGAAAATAATTTTCCTTTTCCTGATTATTTCTTAGTATATATAGTCCTCAAAGTGGTATTACCAAGAAAATACAAAGTTAAATCTTCACAATAATCCCATGAGGTAGGTATTATTCTTATGTTGAAATTGAGTTACCTGGAATTTAGAGAAATAATTATTCAAGTCCCAAATCTCAAGAGAATGGATAAGGGATTGCAGTGTGGCCATTCCCCTGGGGAGTGATTTCTCACTTTCTATCTCTCTGTATCTCTCCAGCAAGCATGCACACTCTGTAACAAAAATCTCTAAAAAAAAGAAAGTATTATGATAAATTCATGAATAATATAAAGCTAAAGATGTTAGGTTTATGTGGAGAAAATACATGTACATAGGGTGAGATTGGAATTACAGAGCTTAATTTCCTTTTCTAATCTTTCTTTTTTTTTTTTTTTTTTTGGAGAGATTTTCACTGTAGGGCGCGTGCGCTCGCCAGACAGACAGAGACATAGAGACAGAAAGCGAGAAATCACCCCCCAGGGGGGATGGTCACGCCGCAATCCCTTCTCCTCCATTCTCCTCTCGGGATCTTGGGCACGCACGCACACGCGCCCGGCGTGAGTTTTAAGCCACCGGGTCCGGGACACGAATCGCGGTCGACTATGTGGGAGTCCAGCGACATAGCCGTTACGCTAACTGCTGGTTCCCCAGAGCTTAATTTCCTACAGCATTAGATCATCTTTTTAGTTACTATGGTCAAAGACAGACTCTTAAGCTAGATAAACCTATATGAAACTTTCATTTTATGTTCTCTTATTCAGGATATCTGTCTTTAAAAATATTTTTAAAAGAATTAGTTATTTAGGGAACAGCAGATGGTATAATGGTTTCATCTCTTGAGTCCCTTGTAGTCGATTATATTTTGAGTCCCAGATCTGGCAGCTTAAAACTCATGTCAGGCACATGTGCATGTGTGCCCAAAATCCTGAGAGGAGACTGGAGGAGAAGGGATTGTGGAATGGCCATTCTCCCTGGAGGATGATTTCTCGCCTTCAGTTTCTCTGTTTCTCTGTCTCTATGGGAAGTGCACATGCCCTATAGCAAAACTCTCTCACCAAAAAAAAAAGAAAGAAACTGCAGCAAGGAGGCTCGAAAAAAAAAGCCATTTAATCTTAATAATAATAATAATATATAATAATAATGATTATTATTATTCAATTTTGACCAGAGGGGGACAGAGAAAGAGAGAAAGCAAGCTGCCAGATTCGGGGCTCATTCGATCATGTAGGATTCCAATGCCTTAACCACCACTCCACCTGCTAGTCCCCAAGATATCTAAGTATATTAGTAAATCTTTAAGGTTCTACTGTTTTTCCTTGGTTTATATAGTCTAAATTTGGGTATTTCACTGTTCATTAACAGATAAGCAAAGAAAAAATTTTAAAGCTAAATTTAAGGCCAGTTAGAGTATGCTCCTTTCTTTGGTAAAGAAATGGGTTGATAGAAGATTTGCACTCATGACCTCAAAAAAAAAAGGTACACTAAAGGTGAGATTTTTTTTTAAAGGAACTATTTTACTCAACTTTTATTTATTTGTTTATTCACTTCAATTTGACCTAAGAGGGACAACGTAAGAGAGAGACAGAGAAGGAAAGTGAGAAAATAAGCTGCCAGATTTGGGACTCGAACGATGGTCGGCCATGTGGGAGTCCAGTGCCCCTAACCACCATGCTACCTGCTGACCTCACTAAAGATGAGATTTTGTTAAAATTAATTTTTGATCACTCTTTACCTGTATAGTAGGTAAGTCTTTACATAAGATCACAATGATATTGAATAGCAATTTCTTCAACTCAAAATCTTCATAGGAATTAGAAAGCTTAAGACCTTTTACCAGAGGATCTTGACTTTTAACTGTAAGAAGAAAAAATAATGTAAAATAAAAGCTAAAATGATGTACAAGAGTTATCAAGATAATTATAAAAAGTTTCAAGTTTTATATTAGGATTTTTACCTTCACTAAAGGTTGCAAATAGTATCAAATCCTTGGTAAAGCCACATTCCTAATATAAACATACAAAAAAAAGCAAAAAGATGAATTAATTAGATAGAAGTTAAGATACAGATGTCCATATTTACTTATTTAGAACAAATTATTTTAGGTTTTCGCCATAAGGCATACACTTGCCAGAGAGCAAGAGAGAGAAAGAAAGTAAGAAGATAATCCCCATGGGGAAATGGCCACATCACAATCCTTTCTCCTCCACTTTCCTCTTGGGATTTTGGGTATACATGTACATGTGCCTGGCTGCCATTTTTCAAGCTGCCAGGTCTGAGAGTTTAACCATGGTTGGCCATGTAGGAATTCAGCACCTTAACCACCATACCACCTGCTGGCCCCATACTTACCTACTTTTTAAGTACCCTGATCAAATTCCCAGCAGGTACCATGGTGGTTAAGGGGACTGGACTCCCACATGGTCAGCCACAGTTCAAGTCCACCACCTGGATCTGGTGGCTTGCTTTGTCACTGTCCCTCTCTTTCACTCTCTTTCTTTCTTCCTCTCTCTTACTCTGTCCCTGTCTGGTCAAATTATAATAAATTAAAAAATAAAAGTAAAAAAAAAATAGGTTGGGAAGATTGAAAAAAATTCTCTACTGTCATTAATTTGAATTCATAAAGCACTAACAGTAAGAGATAGAAACAATGTATCAAAAAGTAAATAAGCCAACTAAACTTATAATTCACTTAATTTTAAACCTAGCTCTGTAGGTTCTATAAAATATATTATTCTATATTTTATAAGATACTGTATAAAATTTGGTAAAAACTCCAAATGTATTAAGCCTACATATTTACTTCTGTAATTCATTTTCTGTACCTCCAAGAGACACAGTAAAAAGGAAAATCAGTTATTCTCAACAGCTTTTCAAACATCCTAACCCCTAACCCAATCACTCTCATTATGTGAAATGTTTGTTGAGAGAGAACAAAATAGTTCCTAGTTAACATGAAAAGCCCTGATGAATGACCAGAATTGTAAACATTTCATCATGAGGAAACTCATTCCAGACAGAGATAAGCTAGCTGAACTTTGTACATTAGGGAGAGTTTACAGGGGCAATCTCTAAGCTTTTGAGCTTACAGCTTTATATTCCTGCTACTTTAAAATTTGTATAGTTTCTTTAAAATGTGAAGATATTATCCCTTTAACTCACATTTGTCAATTTCCCCTGAATGTGTGCAAGGCCAGTAATGAGAATTTAATGACTGCCCAGGGGTTTCCCAAGATACATAAAGGTCCACCTTTACATTGCACCCTTAGCTAGGATGTTTTGCACAATAGGACTGCTTTTGCACTTGCACAGTACAATTTCCATGACACTTATGTTGAGACCACTGGATGCCCACTCACAGGAGGTTGAGACCTTCACAGTCAGCTCCTGGAAGAACGACTTGGGAAGTACATGGCTGATGTATGAACATTGCTGCCACAGATCTCTATACTAGAAATTCAATCATTCAATGATTTTTTACATCGTAAAATATGGGGAGGTTCAGCTTCTAGTATGACTGAATAGTTCCCATAAGACTAATCCTCCTGCTGGTAACAATTATAAATGCTGAACAAAATTTAGAAACAAATATGTTGTGACTAACAACAAGCAGACAGGGGAAGGAAGTCAGGACTTAGAAGAAAGGCATGGCACTGTGCTTCTTGTTTTAAAAATGGTTTTGAGCATGAGAACAAGCCCTATTCTGTACCTGTGAAAATGTTAAACTTCAGAGTAAACCTGTGGTCATAAAGGCTTGAAGAACCAGAGGACAGAGAACCACAGCTGCCCATCCCGTGAGGTCCTGTCCGAGGGCAAAGAGATAGGATACCCTGAGGGGAAGGGCTGTGGATTGAGAAAGGACAGACAGAGAAAAGTGGGGATCAGGTCCACTGTCTCTACTGGAGAACACTGCAGCCCCGAACCGTTCTGTGCTTATTCTTTTGTGCACATTCTTTTATAGGGGAGGCAAAGCCATGTGCTTCAGCTGTGGAGCACCTGGTGGTTCTAAACAAGGCTCTCCTGGCATTTTCTGGCTAACATTCAGGTTTCTTCTATCTGTATCACCCAGCAGTAGATTATATCTTTGTTTAGAGCTTTTGCATGCCCTGTAGCAATAGCGCAAAGACTATATTCACTTTAAGACACTCCCTGCACACAGCCACTGGACAGGTAAGGGAGAAATCTCATAAAAGGGCCTTTGGAGCAGCTCTCTGCTCAGGCCCGCTCCTACCTCTCAGGAGTATACTTTCACTTTTACTTAATAAACAACTTGCAAAAAAAAAGAAAAGAAAAAGAAGAAGAAATCTCATAAAGAACACAGCTAGAGAGGAGGAACCCTAAATTCTGTGTATAAACTTTACAAGAATCTGGCTTGTATATAATCACGTAAGTGTGAATGACTACTCAAAAACTCCAGGTAAGGCTTGGGACCAGCAGTTAATGTAATGGCTATGTCACTGGACTCCCATGTAGTCAACCGTGGTTCGAATCCCGGACCCGGTGGCTTAAAACTCATGCTGGTGATGTGTGCATGCATTCCCAAGATCCTGAGAGGAGAATGGAGGAGAAGGGATTGTGGCATGGCCATCCCCCCTGGGGGGTGATTTCTCTCTGTCTCTCTGTCTCTCTCTGTCTGTCTGACAAGTGCAGGCGCCCTATAGTAAAAAACTTCTCCAAAAAAAAAAAAAAAATTCCAGGTAAGGCTAGAAAAACTGATCTGAGATTTGATCTGCCATCCACCATGGGATGTGTCTAGCCAAATGAATGCCTATTAACAAAAACAAATAAAAAACAAAACAAACTCTTCAGAGGAATACACCAGAATCCATAGTAAAGATGCTCATAGTAAAAGAAAAGATAGTAACTTTCTTTTTTTTGGGGGGGGGGGGGGTTTTTTCTATAGGGCA